GGCGAGGGAAGGGAAAGCGAGGGAAGGGAAAGCGAGGGAAGGGAAGGCGAGGGAAGGGAAGGGAAGGGAAAGCGAGGGAAGGGAAGGCGAGGGAAGGGAAGGGAAGGGAAAGCGAGGGAAGAGAAAGAATGAAAAGAAATTTATTTCATTTCTTTGCTTATTTGCAAAGACTTTTTTTTTCTATCTCTTCGCAAGTCGTCAAATACTAATGACACGCTTTTTTTTAATGCATTGTCAGTCTTGAAGTCTCTCTTCTGTGTGATTAAAGCGTTCAATTTGCCTTATTTCGCAACACCGTATTTTCAGTTCATTTTGCCTTATTTCGCAACATCGTATTTCAGATCAATTTCATTTAAAAAAATTAGATTGTAATTGGAATAATTTGATTTATGTAAAAGTAATGCAAACTGATGATTTTGCATTGAAATACCGTTCTGTTTGTATTTAAAAGTAAAGAGGGTTTGGAATACTGTAATGTATGCGAAAGTACCGCAAATTGATCAATTTTGAAAAATGGTTTAAAATAAGAATGTAATTGGAATAATTGTATTTATGTGAAATCCGCTCTTATTTCGCAACATCGTATTTCAGTTCAGTTTGCCTTATTTCGCAACACCGTATTTTCAGTTCAGTTTGCCTTATTTCGGAACACCATTTTTTGTTCCTCAATAAATAGCAATAAAATTGATTCTATTATTATTATCTATCTAATTTATTACCATAATCAGCGCTAAAATTTATCGTATTCCGCTTAAAAAAAAAGGAATAAAATTTTGATATTATCTTTGTTCATATTATTGCTATTATCATCATTACGATGCAGTGCTCATTACTGTTGCTATATCTTAATGTAATTGTTGCTGTTAAAATAGTTAATTACTTACCATACAATAATTCATTGTTTTAATTTTAAGCTGTTTAGTTGTGCTGTGTTTACTGACCTGAGTTGTTAATTAAATGGTGTTATCAAGATTTGTGTGTAGATCAAGATTATTTATTTCAGTACACTAAATCAGTTATTTAATGTAGTGAAGAAAATAATGCAAATAAATATTATTAATGCAAAAACACAAAAGTTTTCCACTCATAAAAATTATTCACCACATTTTCAAATGTGAATAATTTTCAATGCTTTTTTGCATTAATAATGTGAAACATTTTAGCTTTTCCTACTACTTGAAAAAATTTTTAGGCTTTGCGAATAGAGACAAACGTGCACATATACATATTCATTCATACATGTCATTATTGCATATTTATAATCGATTCATTCAAGTTAATTTCATCGATATTTGCATGCAAGTATGTTGTTAGTATGGAAAAACTAACAATGATTTGTACTTCTGCTACTGCTTCTACCCTTGCGATCTCAGGCATAGTTTCTGAACTACTGAAGACTTATTTCCATTTTAAACGAAGACTTCAAATTTTTCCGATGCAATTTTTGTGCTCAAACATAGCTTTAAAAAATTTACTCTGAAAAAAACTTTTAAAAAATTTTTCTGTTGACAGCAGTACTCTTCAACGCTAATTTATACTTATTTTTCTTAGTTGTAAAGTAAGAATAATAAGAACTGTCATTTTTCTGTTAATTTTAAATTCTTCATATGTATCCGATTAATTGCTCATACTTGTCATTAGTAATCTTTCTATGTTCATCTAGTTTTTTTTTTTTACATAAATTTCAAGCAGTTAATTTTATTAGCATTTTCAACTACTTCATAAAACTTATCTCTTTCACGTTTCAAATATATTACATAAACAGCAGACAAGCAAATTTTAGTAGTCGAAAACGTACTAGAAAACAGCAAAAACAGTAAAAAATTTTTTCATTCAAATTATGAACTTTAGAGAGCTCTGCAAAATTTTGTAAAAACAAATCCTGATGATTGGTACATTCGGTAGATTTTTTCGTTTTGCAATTGCAGCAGCTACAAATGCTGCTGTGCAAGTCATGTTTGTGAGCAATTTCACTCATTACTTTTTCTGATAATTCATTTGTGGTCAGATTTCATACATGATGAACCCCGAAAAACATAATTGTCTGAGACATAATTAACACATAACAGTATTTCATTTTCATACCTGATTCAGTGTAAAACGAAGATTACTCGAAATCTGCATTCTTCAAATTTTTCCGATGCAATTTTTGTACTCAAACATAACTTTAAAAAATTTACTAAGTATTTTAAACCTGGATATTTTTTCTGATGCACGTACGATACAATCCGTAAACTCCATTGTCGATTCAGTTATTTGGACTAAAATATATATGAAACGATGATCTGGTTTTAAAAATTTAGTTAGTTTATGGTAAATTGATATTGCTTCGTAATTTTTAAAATCTAGTTGGTGAAAGTCTTGATCATAATGTGGTATTCAAAAATTATGGCATCAAAAAAAGAATTTTTTAGCAAAATCTTTGTCGATACTTTCATTAGATGAAATTTCTGCTCATACAATTCAAGTTGCTTTCTTTTTTCTAAAAACTTCCAACTAAACATAATTTTTTGAAATTATGCTTTTTACTGAATGAAACAGCTGTGAGCAAGTTTCTCCCTAAATGATTTTATTTTAAAATACCAGAAGTTAATAAGTTCATAATACTAATGTTGCAGAAAATTTATAAATTACGCAATATTACGTACTTGCTATAAACATTATATTGGTTCTGTTAAGAAATTGGTGGGACTTCTTTGTTGTACTGATTTTCTCATCAATATGATTAATGCTATTATAATTAGCTAAAAAAATTTTGTCTATTCTTTTTCACTAACAAAATAAATGAGTGGGAAGAAGACGTTTGTAGCAAATGAATGAATTAGTATAATGGTAACTTCTGAAAAATCATTTTTAGCTTTAAAAAATTATAAATTAAATATTATCAAGTAGTGAAGTCTTCCATACTAGTCGTAATTTTTCCTTATTTTTTATTTCACTTTATAAAAATAATGTCATTCATGCTGTCACTGATTTGTTTTTGATGTTTTAATTATTTAATATCAAGCCTTTATTTGCAGATACGAAAAATATTTATATTGCAAATTTGCTGCAATCATAATTTTTTCTGCTAATTCAATAAAATTTTTAAAATTTTGAAGACCAATTTTTGCGCCATCAAACTTTTGATTGTACTTAAAAATTCGAAAATAATGGATGATCTAGCTAAATTATAAAATTAGCATGATTTTAATATTTATAAAAAGTCTTCTGTATTTTAAACAAGCAAAACATTAGTATGATATTTAGTTCGATTGATACTAATTCTTTGCATACATTATAGCTCCATGGTACTACCGTTGAAAAACAAACATTTAATTGCTTTTGTTTTGAATTGCAATCAAAAATGAACATGATATAGAATTCGGGCAATTTTATATGCATATGATTTCGACTGAGACATAGAATTTACAATTGCAAGATTTATAAAAGTGATTAATTGAAATAATTACTGAGAGCTCATTTTCATTCTGTGCCCTTAATTTTTTATTTTCCTCTTTATAAACACTAAACATATTTTCAGTCCTTGAATCCATCGAAAAGTTTATACATAGATATTGCAGAATCGCCAAAGCATTTATCGGCAACTCTGTTAGTCGATGTATTTGAACATACAAATCTATTAGTTACAAGTTTTCATCATTAAGATAATATTTTAGAATGCCATTACATTTATTGTAAAAAACTATTTATTTTTTTAAAACTGATATTGTTGCATAAATTAATAAATGTATTTTCTATTCATTATTATCTATTTAACTCCTTTTCTGGTACCATCATTTTCTTCAACAAAACTTTTATTATATGACAATTTGGTAAGTCATTCAGGTGAGTTAATATCTGTCAACTCATTTATTTTTAATTTGACTGAGTTTTTCGAAAATAGTCTCAGTTTGACAAATTAAAGGAATAGATATGATATAAAACAATTAATGGAATTGATGAATAGCTTTTAGACTGTATTTTATTTTTGCTGAGCACACAAAAAGCAAACAAGAATGAAAATTATGCTATAAAAATTAGATTACAGCAAAATTACAAAAATTGTTTCAGAAAAGACAGAAAACTCGAAAAAATATGGAAAAATCAATTAAATTTAAGAAAAGAATATTTGAAAATTTTTTGTAACTTGCATAATTTGTTCAGTTAAACTTTAATCCTTAGTTACTTTGTTCTTAAAAGAAGTAATGCTTGAAAATGATAAAACAATGCAAAAATCTTGGTCCAGTTTTCTGCAGCAGTTCAACAATAATCATTATTATAGCATCTCACATTGAATGGGTTCCGATCATGCAACGTAACGTAACGGAAATAATTCATGAAGTGCTGCTTGACAAAGATCTCAAACACTCAAAACATGGAGAAAGCAATCATCTACAACGAGATCGGCTCATTGAAATTGGAAAAATGCTTAATGTATGACATTACATGTATGGCGTATAAAATTGACAGGGAAATACTATTAATGAATAACTTTAAAAATTTTAATCTCTTAAAAACTAAAATTAAAAAACATTGAGAGAATTCATTCACTAATTCAGATCTACTTTGTTATTGATGGTGCTAAAAAGTGCTGAATTTAATACACTTTTATATTCTTAACATATTTTGCACTTCAGACATTTTAAATTGTAAGTTAGGTATTTAAAGCACCATCAATAACAAAGTTATCAAGCATTCAAGGACTCAATCTTTGATACATCTTTTAAAAAAGTGATAATACTCAGTCATTTTATCCAAACAAATATAAATAAATACAGTTTGTAAAAAGGTTCGCAAAAAAATCAGTATTGACAGAATGAATTAATAGCTCATTTTTTTCTGAAATTAGATGACGCCTTAACAATTATAAAATAAAATATTTGAGTGAAGAAATGACTTGTTAACTTCTAGTAATGCAAATTGGGTACGCAATTAAAAGAATAAATTTTGATTGTTAATATTTACACATATAGGCCTCATATCAAAGGAGGGAATCGAATGTGCGTACTGGTAATGAAAAAATGCGTTTACTAGAAAAGGAACGACAAGAAAGAATCAACGAAATGAGCAGCAGCAGTAGCAGTAGCAGCATTTCATGGTCAATTGCTAGTCAATGCAAACTGCTTCGCATCTGTACATGTCTTTTTATT